ATGCAAAACCCTAGATTCTAAGATGTCTCTTGTAAGGTTTTTGGTCCCAACCACATGAATTGTGGCGGCCAATGAAAGAAAACCTTATAGAGGTCGATTAATGCAAATGATGATTCAAATGCAAGTGTGCAAGTGTATATAAAGGTGCATGTGTGCAATTGTATGGAAATCCAAGTGTTTGTGTGCAAGTGTATGAAATATAGTGATAAGTGTATATAGATCGTAATTAAGTGCAATTTTGTGAAGTAGAAACCAAAATTGAACAATAAGGAAAGGAAAAGTAATGAGGAAAGGTGAATTGAAAAAGTGAGTAAGTGAAAAATTGAGAATGAATGAACCTAAAGGAATGCATCAGGTCGGGTATGGGAATGACTCCTAACTTTTTCGACTTCGATCTTCCCTTTGATTAGAAGGCAAAACTAGCGTGCTAAGGCTATCGAGTAGCCACACTCGCTCGTTTCCCTTATCGGAAGGGGACACTCAAGCAAAATGAACCCTATAGCTAGTATGGGATGCAAAACCCTAAAAATGGAGGGAAAAAGGGGTTTGAGGAGCATGCCCAATGATAAAACTAAAGAAAGTTGCATGATATGTGGTGAACAAGCAAATGATGCACTAATGAAAAGAAAGGAAAAAGCCTATTGGGTCTAGCGTTGGACTAGCCCATTCTATGAATTCCGACTAGCGTTGGACTAGTGGAAACGATAAAAGAAGCCACAACTAGCGTTGGACTAGTGTGGTGACGTACATTCATCCATTCCATTCATCCACACTATGGAAAACAAGTAGACATACCAAATACTCATAAACACGTAGCACGTAACATTTAGCATGCTCGACTAGATGCAAGACCCTAATAAAGCAAGTAACAAGTAACACATAGGCATGCAACTAAGCTAATGAACTTATTACATTCACTAACTAAAACAAAAGGGGAAGGGAAAATGGACCAAATTGCTCGCCACAGCCCTATCTATTACAAGCCAAGAGGTGTACACATACCCCATAAAGAATAACTTAAATAAAAAGCAAAAGTAAATGATATAAATAAAAGAAATTAAAGAAAGGCTAGGAAAGCAAAGTAGACATGTATTTCTCACGTAGCACGTTGGTTCACATAGGAGGGACACGAAAAGGGATAAAAGAAAATATACCGCCCTTGAAATGAAGCTCTAATGGAGTGAAATCAACTTATTTATCCTCCAAAATAAAAGAAATGGTCAAGGTACCAATTTATTTGGCAAATAATCACAAAAGATAAAAAAATAAACATGAATTTGAATCAATTAAATCATGTCAACAACCCACATTTAAGAAGTCAAAAGAAGAAAGGACTTGATTGCAAAAATTAATAGTCTTGGGGTCAAAATTAAAGAAAAATAAAGTTCAGGGACTTATTTGCAATTAAATTAAGGACCGAATTGAAAGAAGTTGAAAATATCCAGGGCCACAGTACAGTTAAAGAGAAATTCAGGGACTGATTTGCAAAATTGTTTTCTGGTTTCTTAATGGACCAAACCATTGGGCCATTTCCTTTATTTGCTTGGGCCAAAGCTTCCCAGCCCAACGGAAATCCAAAACAAAAGGGAATGGGCCATTCTATTATTTTATCAAGTAAAAGCCAACAAAATGCATGGGCTTCAAATCTCGAGCCCAAATTACTAACCCAGGAATTAAACAAAACAAAACCCAATCCAAACAAACAAACCACCATCAAGACCCAATCAAAATAAACCTAATCCAATTCCACAACTAATTCTTATTAAACCCATCAAAATAATAAGATAACTAAAAACATACCTAATCATATCATAATTCCAGAATTAATCTACCTAACAACTCACTAAAAACATAAAAGGCAAATTGAAACTTAAAAGGGGCAAATCAACTTGATATTTTTTAGTTTTGGGCCACAATAAAATTAGACAAAAATTGAGGGGTTAAATTGCAAAATTCAGAAACTGCTTCATGCATGCAACGTAAGCTTTTTCCTTTCTGCTAATTCCTTTCATATGCAACATGCTGGGTTTCTCGAATACAATCTCCCATCCACCCCAACCCAACTAATAGCTTAGCTAACCAACATTTGGACTAAACAACCAGATAACAAAAACTTTCTTTCTCACTTTCAACATGAAACGTTATGGTTAAACATCAGAAATTCAGATGAACAGATCAAGCAAGCATCAAACAACAGTATTTTCTTTAGCAACAGTGCTTCTGCAATTTTCTGATGCAAACCGAAATATGATCCTGCGAATTAATGGGAATGAATGCTTATTGATTTATCTACCACCTTGATGCTATAGCTTCCTACCCATGTTGCTAATCATCACCCAAAAGCATTGATCTATTTCTCAGAAATTCTAACAAGGGAGTGAGCCATAAAAATGCAGCAAAACAACATGGATATTTGTAGCAACTTCGTTCAACTCCCTCTAGTTTTACGAATTCAAAACACTCGAGCATGACAGAATACAAGACAGAACAAGGGGCTGAGATGCTCGAATCCCTTCAGAAAATCTGGTTTGAAGAAAATTTTCTTTTGCAAAGGAAAATATGTCCATGACGCACCCATTACTCCATGCTACAACCAAAGTAAGGGAAAGGACCAATACAACCCAGGAACAGCAACAAATCATAAAAGTTAAACAAACCAAAACAAACCTAAGCAGCCCAAGAGAAATAAAATAAAAAAAACTGTTCGCAAAGCAGCAATATGATCCAGAGGACTCTGGACTACTCTGAGCTTCAATATAGTGCACTAAAAAACTTAACACAACTCCTAGCTCACTCCAGCACAAAGACTTGGGACAAGGGGAGAGGGAAAATTAAATGCAGCAGAGAAAGATTACATGCAAAACTGGAAATTTTTGTTCTCCCCACAACACTTTGCCTTCGACTTCATCATAGGTAGGAAGACAGCCATGAATACATTGTTGAAGTCTCAAACTCCAACTCTTAAAGACATCAGGTTCTAAACCAGAGAATGAATACCAAAACATAGTCAACATTTCAGGTTCCAACAAGAAAACAATCCTCTTTACTGATTAATCATCAATTGATGTTCCCGTTCTTTTCAATCAGCAATACCAGAAACTTAATTTCAAATGCAATCATTCCCAAAAGACAACAAAATTTACTCATGAAAACTCCGTCTCCTAAGATTACTTCGGAATGGAACAAAACAACGGCAAATGCTAAACCAATTCCTCAAAATTTCTCAAATACAAGGAAATGAACTTGCTAACCTATCCAGTTTCTTCATACGCAAAAAAAATGCCGACAAGTTAACTTTCAATTAGAAAAATCAGTTAGGCATTTCATCGAGCAACAAATAGGCATTAAAACCTCACCGAATTATTGCTCAAATTGAGATTGATCAGCCCCAAAATTGTTCAAAACCAAAAGATTTCAGTCTAATCAACATACAGAAAAGGCCATGAACAATCGACATGAAATTTGAAACAACAAGCTAACAGTGGACATGGCACGTTCATCCGCAAACATGCTCTGAAAATTTTCAGAACTTGTGCTTGACTAAAGACTGAAACGTAGGAGTAAAAGTGAACCTACCATTGCTTCTCATGGTGTCAATTTCATCGGCGTCGACAACGGGCTCGGGCGAGGTGATGGATTTCGACGGCAGCCCCTCTTGCTTCTCCGTTCGGCTCTCTTGCTCCTCTGCCTGTTTCCTCTGTTTTTTGGCTTCCCAAATTCCGCCGCCACCTCTCTGTTGCCTTTTTTGTTTTTCTTTTCCGTTTTCTGCCTTTCCCTCTTTCAGCCCTCACCCCCAATTTCCAGATTTTTCCTGCGTTCTTTAGCCGAGGCTCCCCCCTCTCGGTTTTTCCCTCTGTTTTTCTTTGGCCAAAAGTCTCTTCCACCCGAAGCTCTCCCCTGTTTTTTCCGTTCCTTTTGTTGCCGACCGAAGACCTAGCCGCCATAGCTCCCCTCTCTGTTTTTTCCTTTTTCTCTTTTTCCTATCCCCCTTTTTTTTTGTTCATTTCCTTCAAAAACCAAAAACCTCCTGCCGAGGACCTCTCTCCATTTTTCCTTCCTGCCGTCTCCTTTTTCTTTTTATTTTTTAGCCCTCACAAAATTCTACTTTGACCCCCAAAAATTCCTTAACTTCCCAAATGTCCCTAACACCTCACCCCTTAGGTGCTTAGTTGTCTAAAACATAGAAAAGACACTTGTCCAAGTGCATGCAGTCCCACTTGTCATTTTCACCTTTTTTTCTTTTTCCTTTTCTCTTTTTCTTTTGTTTTTCCTGGAAATTAATGTGAAGCCAAAAATACACTAGAACAAAAATAAAATAAATAACAATAATAAAAATAAAATAATAATAATAATAATAATAATAAAATAATAATAATAATAAGAAATGAAAAACCTAAAATTGAAACAAATAAAGCTAAGATGAAATTAATTTAAAAAATCAAAAATTTGGTGTCTACACAACCACCTTACCTTTTTGCATTAGTACGCATCCTAGACCTTCCCTAGAGGCATCAGAGTATACCACATATCCTTCTACTCCATCAGGCAATGTCAAAACAAGAGCTGATGTCAAGCGCTTTTTTAACTCTTGAAAACTTGATTTGCACTTTGGAGACCAAATAAACTTATTATTTTTCTTTGTCAGCTCTGTCATAGGTCCAGCAATCTTTGAAAAGTCCTTAATGAACCGCCTGTAATAACCTGCTAGACCCAAGAAACTTCTAACCTCAGTTGGAGTTTCAGCTGTTTCCATATTGTGACTGCCTCCACTTTTATCGGATCTACTGCAATTCCCTCTTTCGATACTTTGTGCCCCAAAAAAGAAATCTCATTCAGCCAAAACTCACACTTACTAAATTTGGCATACAATTTATGCTCCCTTAAAATCTGCAGAAAACCACTTTCAAATGTTGAACATGTTCCTCTCGAGTCTTAGAATATACTAGGATATCATCAATAAAAACTACTACAAACTGATCCAAGTACTTTTTAAAGACTCTCTACATTAAGTCCATGAAAGCAGCTGGTGCATTAGTTAATCCAAATGGCATGACTGCAAACTCAAAATGACCATATCTTGAATTAAAAGCAGTTTTAGGGATATCCTCCTTCTTGATTTTCAACTGATAATACCCTTGCCTCAAGTCCAGCTTGGAGAAAACTACTGGTCCTTGCAGCTGATCAAATAAGCTGTCAATCAATGGTAGAGGGTATTTATTCTTAATTGTACCTTCATTTAGACCTCGATAATCAATACATAATCTCAGGCTTCCATCCTTTTTCTTAACAAACAATACAGGTGCGCCCCATGGCGAATCACTTTCTCTAACAAAACCTCTCTCCAATAGATCCTGTAATTGTATTTTCAGTTCTTTTAGCTCTGCAAGAGCCATCCGGTACGGAGTCTTAGAAATCGGAACCATTCCCAGTACTAGTTCAATCTTAAACTCCACTTCTCTCTCCGGAGGTAATGTTTTTAATTTTTCGGGAAACACATCTGGAAATTCCTTTACGACTGGTACATCCTCCAACTTCACTTAATCACTGGGAGCATTAATCAAGAAAGCTAAGAAGCCTTGTGCTCCTTGATGTAACATTTTCCTTGCCCAAACTCCTGAAATCATAGCAGATGATGCCAATCTGCCTTTCACATCCAACTTTAGGGTTGCTTCCCCAGGAATCCAAAATTCTACCATTTTTGCTTTACAATCAAGTTTAGCATGGTAATAAGCTAGGAAATCCATTCCTATGATAACATCATATCCTTTTATGTCCAAACTGACTAGGTCTACTAGCATCTTACGCTCTCCGACCCAAAACTCGCAGTTCTTATAAGCTAGGCTAGCAATTATACTCTTATTACCCATAGGTGTCCTAACTTCAAGATCAAAGGGTAACCTAACAGGTTGTACATCAATTCCGGACATAAAATTTGGGTTCACAAATGAATGAGTTGCACCAGGATCAATTAGTACTCTAACTAATCGATGAAAGATTGGAAGAGTACCTTCCACGACCTCCGAGGAATCAGGCACAGGCTGATCGTCTATAGCGTAAACCCTAGCCGGAACTTTCGGCCTATCTCCTCCAGAAGTGGCTGGTCTAGCATTCAGGGTACCACCGTCTTGCATTTTCGGGCAACCGGAAATCTGGTGCTCGCTGTTTCCGCACCTTAAGCACTTTCCTCCCTTCTTCCAACATTCATCCACAGTATGGCCAGCCCTCTTGCAATACCCACAAGTTACCTGAGGGGTGGTCACACGACCTCCTTGCGGAGCATTCCTAGTTTGATTCCTTCCACTTGGTCCTCCTCTAGTACCGATATCTCTTCTTCCGGTACCTCTCACCCCAGCTCCTCTTGCTAGAGCGCCTTGTAGGGCTCCAGGATTATTTACTCCACCCGTTCCTCGACCTACTTTGGCCGGTGGAGCATTTGCATAAGTCGGCTTCCGACTGCTGCTAGGGCCAAATCTTTTCTTGGCCTGGAAGGATTTTACCTAAGCTCTAGCAATTTCCACTCTCTGAGCTCTCTCAACAGCATCAGCAAAGGTATCTAATCGAGCGGCAGCCAATCCCTCTTGGATTTCCACATTCAGTCCCTGCACAAACCTTTTTACACGCCTTTGCTCCGTGGCTACCAATTCGGGAGCAAAACGGGACAATTTCGTGAATTGGATTTCATATTCGGTGACACTCACCGCCCCCTGCCTACACTTGATAAAGTCGTCCTCTCTTTTCTCTTGAATGAGAGGGGGTAGAAACTTGGCGTTGAACTCCAGAGTGAAATTCGCCCAAGTCCTAGGAATATGGTTCCTGTCCCAATTAACCCTAATTAGGTTCCACCAGGAACGAGCAGCTCCCTCAAACTGGAACGCTGCGAAAGTCACTTGCCTTTCTTCCGTATAATTCAGAGCGGCAAAAATATCAGAGATCCTTTCCCACCAACCTTCGGCTATCTCAGGTTCTGGACCTCCGTAGAACTTAGGTGGTCCAAACTTCAAAAATCTCTCTAATGCCCGGTCCTCAGTATCGATTGGGCCTCCTTGGTGATGCACCGCTCCCGGGACGGGGTGCTTAGTCATGCGCTCTAACACATCAATTATTCTATTGATTGCAGTGACCACTGGGTCTCCGGCCACGTTTCCCTGACCATGGTCTTGATTGACTTCAGGTTCCCTATCACCACTACCCTCGGGGTGTTGTCTAGTTGCTCTCCCACGTGCTCTACCTCTAACTTGCCGATTCATAGCCTAATTATGCCTATATATAAATAGAGTAATTAATCGAAGATATAGTTATTTATTTACTTATTATTATTAAGTAAAGTCAACATGAATATCAAGAGGAAGAAGATATAACACTTAAAAACATATATTCACATACCAAAGTTCATACAACTAGCAGGTTAGGGTGCCTCCGAAAGTATGGCACACAAGTTGAGCAAATATATACAAACAATCCCTTATACCAAAATTAGGGATACAGTGCCTTAAAAGTAGGTCATCTAGCTAGACAAAATGCTATGACCTAAACTAGTGTCACCCTAGCTAACCCTAGATACCTATTTACAAGCAAAGTAAACCTAGTCTAACCACCAGCAGGGCTGCCAGGAGCAACGTCCTCCTCAGGGTCCTCCTCCAGATCCTCCTCCGGATCTGCCTGAGCAGTACCCTCAATGATCCCCATAACCTCGTCTATCATCATAGTAGCATCAGCCCTAATACTCGCACTCCTATCTCGTACCTCCTCAGCAACTCGAGTCAATCGAGACCTCTGTCTCCCTAGCTCCTCACGAGCGGCCTCTGACCTAGCCCTCTCAGCTGCTAACCTCTGCTCGAGCTCAGCTATACGATCCATCTGAGTATCAACCATGACACTCAATTCCTCAACATCCTGGGTCAAAATGTGATTAGCGTCCCTCAGCTGGCGATGCTCATTGTCCAAAGACAGCACTAACTCATTAGGGTAAGCATATGTGACCCTACACTGGTATCGGGGAAACCTATCAGCTACAGTATACCGTATATGGGGTCCTCCACCTCGTGGCCTATAGGAGATGGATCTAAGAGGCTTTATGTGAGAACCCCAAAAATATATATAAGCCTGTGCATATTTCATTTGCATTTCTTTTAATTCTTTAATAAATTTTAGCATTACTTTCACTAGTTTGCAGATAAGTATGTAAAAATAATTTTATGTGAAAAATAATATAATTTTACTAAACTATGAATTTTTTTATGTTTCGATAGATTAAATTAATACTTTTAGAATTAGATTAATTTAAAACGTTAGAATATTTAGATTCCTTCATGCTAAATTAATGATACTCGAGCCGATTAATCTTATTGCCTTAAAATAAATTACTTGAAATTTAATGATTAATTCCAATTAGTTGCTAGCGTTATATGTTAAAAGGAAATTTTTCACGATAAGACGAAATCAATGAATTTTAGATAAATATAATACAAGTATGCTAAACATACTTAAGGCATAAAGTTACGATAATTAAAGTCTTGCATGACTAGTGTATAATTAGGCGTTCAAATCACACTTGGGGATAATTTTTGGAATTAAGTTAGAATTAAGGACTTGAGTGGAGATTAGGAGGAGATGCGAAAAGACTAAAATGCCCTCCATTTCATATTCCAAATTACCATGCAAACCAAAAACATTTTCGGACAGCATGATCATCCACCACCCTAACCGGCCAATACACTCTCTTCTCCAATTCCACACTCAACCCTCTCATGCACTCAACCTCCTCTATCCGCAAGCCACTTTCTCTCCTTCCTCAATACCGCGACACCACCACACTCCACCTTCATCTCGTTAAACTAGATACGAAAGAGTGAGAGGGAGAGATCAGCTCCATCCGAGAGTAAAGGGGGGGAAACAGTGAGCTGCAACATCTTCCATTTCTGCCCGCAGGCTAGGAGGAAGAGAGAGAGAGATACCGTGGGAGCTCCATCCATTTCTGCATCATCAACCAGCTGCAATCCAGCTTCAATCTCCACTAGTCGCAGCCACTAAAATCCAAACCAATCTCCAGTCACGAGCGAGCCGAGAGCTGAGAGGGAGAACAGAAATTTTTTTTCAGATTTCTTGTGCGTGAGCTGAGTTGTTCTGAGGTAATTTTCTGGACTATTTGGGTTGATCAGAGGTAGATTGAGCCATCTAGGGGCATGCATGTGTTGTTTGTGCAGTCGGATGATGAAATCAAAGTTTAGAAAAATCTGTTTTGGAAGTAAATGTTTCTGTCGAGAAGCTGAGTTGAAGATGCAGCTTTATTTTTGCTTCCCTGTGACAATTTGAGCTTAATTATGTGTTTAACCAACCAAAAACAAGAGGATTAAGCTAGATATAGCCTTGCATGTTGAGTTTAGACAGCCAGATGAGTAGTTTAGGAAAGAAAAATCTGTTATGCGTAAGAATTTGAGACTGCCGAGAGCTTGACTTGAATACTGCAGCTTCATTTGGTATAATTTTGCTGTTTTGAGCCTCTAACCGTGATTAACTAGTTAATTACAAGATAATTAAGCTCTGCATGTAGTTAATTAATGGGTTTAAATCAGAAAAATAAAATAAAATAGAAATCTGCTACATATATGATCATTCGAGGCTTGTTGGAAGATTTCTGGAAATTTTGGATGACTTTTGTCGTTAATCGAATTTAATTACTGAGCTAGATATGTTAATTAACTAGTTAAGTGATGGCATGTTGAATTGAAGTGTGAGAACCCTTATTTTCCCATTTTCTAAGTTTTATTATTTTCCGTGGCTTGTTTTCTGCATTTTCGTGATTAGAAAAAAATTTCTAGATGAATTTAAGGAGCAGATATAATTTTTAGATGCTTTTTCTAGTATCAAATAGTTTTTGAGAAATTCAGAGCATATACCGGACGTGGGACCCACTAGTGCGAAAAATTCGAAAAAATTCGGCCAACTAGGTTAAGTTTTGAATACTGGAATTAATTTATCGGGTGTTAAGAGATAAGTAGAGGGTGCTAAGTGGATTGGTATAAGAGAGACAAGGTTGGTGAACATTTATTAAAAGGTGACAAGTGTCACCATTTGAGAGGTTGAACCTTAAGACCACTATTCATGGTCTTACCATTTGACTTAAATAAACCAAAAATGACCCAAAAATCATCAAAATATCCTCCATGGTGCCCGAGCTTCTTGAGCAACAAAAGAAAGAAAGCTCTTCAAGATTTTAGCTTCAATCTTGCTTCAATCATCAAAACCAACCATCCAACTTTGATTTTCCTCCATAAAACACCTTCAAGTAGTGTTTGTGAGTTGTTGTGTGAAGTTATTTAGAAAGTTAAGGTGACCAATAGCTCTCTCTCTCTCTTGTGTTAAAGGTAAGTTGTGAAGAACCACCCTCCTCCCTTAATTGATGCTTAAATCATGCTTAGTGGTTGTATGAGATGCAAATTTATGGATTAATTCTTGATTTGTGGTTGAAATGATAAAGTTTTATTATTTTTGGGGATTTTCTGTTTTCATATAAGCATGATTGTGTGGCTATATATGATGATTGGAAATGGTATATAATGATTCTAGAAGGTGGAAAAAGTGGAAGATTGCAAGTAATTTCTGTATTGGGAGAAAATTGAAAAACCTAGGGTTCATGAAGGAACATTCTGCCCGAATTTATAGCTCCTAGTTAGAGGCCAAATTGGCCTTAGCTTAAAACATAAAAGTTGTATGGAATGACATTTTAGAGGTGTCTACAAAATTTCAGGTCAATCAGAGTAGTGTAGAATGAGATAAGTCGAAATTACTATTGCTGTTCTGGTTTTACCCGAATGTAAGAATTGTGCCTGTAATTGGTTGTTTTGGCTGGAATTGCTTCTGAATTGGTTGTTTAGGCCTTCTGATGAAATTTAGCCCTGTTTCTTAGCTTTCATATGGTTTTGGAATTTCTGGATTTGGACTTGGAGAGCCTGAGTTATGATGTTTCCGCTAGAATGCGTTTTGGTGAATCTGTTTTACGTTTTTGATGTAGTATCTTGCATTTTTGACCTGTTTGCACTCAAAACTGGGTTGAGTGACCTTCTGTGATGTTGTAGCCCTGACTTTTATCTTCGAGATGGTGGGTCTTGTACCCTCATCCGATAATCGTAGTGAAATTGGTGCTATTACCGCAAAATGAGGACAAAAATTATTTTTTTCAAGGCCAAAGCTAATTGTATTTCCGAATTTTCTGGTTTCCTTTAATGTTTATGTATGCTTAGGGAACCCTGTTTTGGTAGTATATAGAATTGGTTTATGACTTGTAATCGAGTCCTATTGTGTTCATTTGAATAGTTTAGGGTTTGACTTTCATATCCGGTTATTTCCTAGCTAAATTTTGTACTTGAATGCCATTAAGCCTAGTGAACGGCTTTTGGGAATGAGATTATTTTTGTACGAGATATTGGGACTGATTTGAGGACATAATGAAGCCATGATGGCTGGAAAATAGGTAAAAACAAGGGATATGCTGCTGAAATTTTTCTTGAAGGCTAGTTGGATTTACTTGTGATTTGAACGAAGGGCTTTTGGGTTGTTTGAGCCTAGGTCTTCATGTTACCTTTTCGTTACCAAAAATCATGTTTTGCACCCTTGCTTTAGTGATTATTTGGCGAGGCATACGACTGGTAGTCGAGCCTCACATGTGCATTCTGTATACTCAATTTTGGAAGTGGAACCTTCAATTGTTTTCCTTGGATTATTTTAGGGTTTCTTGGTGGTTAAAGCTCTCTTTTGGGAGGTATCTGCACTGATCCTGGTGAGTGTACTACTCACTTGTGTGTTATTATATGGCTTTGATACTTGAACTTGAGGTGTTGAATGTTAATTGATTGAAGTGAGAGTGTACTTTATCACTTGCACTTATTGTTTCGCATGTTATTGGAAAGTTATTGGAATGTTATATGAAATGTTATATGAAATGAAATACATGACTTGGTGTCGTTTGGACGAGTCTCCAACGACTACAAATGTTATCAATGAGCTCAACCCCATTGGTAGTTGATTGAATCGAGCCGGCGAGGGCTTGGTCGTGCCAATTAATGAACCTTGGGTAAAGTTATATGGAATCTTGTAGTATGCGAAACTCTCGATTCCGGTATACTCGAGTAATACCAAAGTGCAAGTGTTTGGAGTTCGGGCCCGGTAGGGGGATGTTAGGTGGAAGGAGTGGAAGTAAAGTGGAGTCTACGGTTGGTTACCTTTGAACATTGACGGAGGGTCAATGACG